CAGGGGACACAAGACCAGCATTTCCAGCACAAACCACACTTCAAATTCTCTCTGTACATCAAAAAGAAAAAAAAAAATAAAGCAAAAAACATTTTTGTCCCTTCGCAGGGACAGTATTTAGGCTAATACTGACTCTGCCTTGGCTGTCCCTACACTAACATTCTCCTCCGTTGAAGTTCCACCGTAGAGAGGACACGGGTGTTTTTATTACTGTGTTGTCTCAGTGCAGGTCCAGATGAGGGAGTAAAATTACAAAAGGCACCTACGTTGAATGAACTCACACAGGAAAACGAGAAAAGACAAACACGCCAGCAGCTGTGGTGAATACTTTTCACAGCGCGATCACGCTACAGCTGCCCTATCAGGCCGCATCCTTGAACAAAACCTGCACAACACTTTCCAAAGACAAGCCTGGGAGCTTAAATTCATAACGCTGCTAGCCACTGAAAATCATGGATCTGACAGAGACACTGGATTTAGGGCTTATTACAACACTCTGTAGCCCACTAGCCCCGCTTTTTGTCCTATGACTGAAGATGTATTAATGGGCTACTTCACCGACAGTGATTCCTCAGAACGTGCACTAACCACTGATGCTAAACAATCTGCTCCGTCTTGTATTTAGCTGCGATGCTCAGAGAACCTTTCCCAGACCTGGAGAAGAGCTGTGTGTAGCGTAAAAGCTTCTCTCTCTCACCAACAGAAGTTGGTCCAACAACCGATATTACCTCATCCCCCTCCTCTCTCAAAAGCATCATTTAGGTTCTTCTAACAATTTTCCTCTGAAGTCTGGATGGTAACAATGCCCTGTTTACACCAGGATTCTGACTAGTGCAGCTGCAACGGTGGGAGATTAATGAAAATACCAATGCAGACAAGTCCTGTCTCCAGGACTGTCAAGCCGACATCTTCCAACTGTGCAAAAACATAATCAGCTTTTTCTAAAGAGAGCCCAGATGAGCTTATTCCGCACGCAGCCCTGAGGCTAAGGCCACGTCTACACTAGAGAGCTTACAGCGGCACAGATGTACCGATGCAGCTGTAAGATCTCCTGTGTAGCCTCTCTATGCTGACGGGGGAGAGTTCTCCTGTGGACATAACTAAACCACCCCCAACGAGCAGCAGTAGCCATGTCATCAGGAGATGGTCTCCCGCAGACATAGCACTGTCCACACTGGCAAAGTTATACGGACAAAAGTGCCAGCGTAGACACAGCCTTAGAGAAGGAAAGTTTGGTAAAGTGACCACCAGCAACAACCAAGGGGAAACCCTCGGCCTGCTGAGTTAGTGGGAGACAAAACCCCCTCCAGCTCAAAGTCGCTGCTTGTTTTGTTTTGTTTTCAAAGTACAACTATGAAACTTGCAGCCGGTGTGTCCAACTCTGTGGCATTTGCATGCGGTTTGGGAATTTATACCCCAGCCAGCTGGCCTTTCTGGCTCTAATTTAGATGTTTCCTTTAAAGACATTAAGATTTCTAGGTACTGAAAACTACTTGTTCATTCAGTGCATTGCAATGAAAGGGAGGGAAAAAACTGTCTTTTTTTTGTTTTGTTTTTTTAATTAAGGAAATGGGTTTCCCCCTTCTCTGATGCGTTCTCCCCCACCCCCCTTCCATCTCATCTCCATTTGCCCTGAAACGTGGCACTCGGCTAGGGGGCTGGGAGAGACACGGTCCTAGCAGACATACATGTTCAGATGCTGACCGCAGAAGCACGCACGCCCCTGAGGTGCCAGGCTGGCCAGACTCCGCGTATGGAGCAAGCCTGAAGGGCTGAGTTGTTCAGCAGGAATCCTCAGCCCCCTCCCTATCCTGTCTCCTCCCCTGAAAGAGGAGAGGAAAGAGAGGAGAAAGCTGGGAAGGGGCGGGGGGGGGGGGGGGGGAAGCTCCACATTCCTGACATTTCTGTGCAAAGCACTGGGGCTGCAAGGAGCCTGCTCTCCGGGCTAGGGACTGACAGGGAGGAAGAGCCCTGATGCCAGGCTTGGGAGAGGCCAAGGGTCTGCTCCTCTCCCCCTACCAGGGGCTCCATTTCTATCAAATGTACTGGGGAGGGGCAGATAAATAACTCCCCCTCCCACAGGAGGAGCGGACACTCCTGTCTAGGGAGGGGGAAAGGTTTCATTGGGTTCTCTCTGGTGGGGGCTGGCTGAAGGGAGGCAGGAGAGCACCTCTGGCTTGTGAGATGTCTCTGGAAAGAGGGAGAACAAGGCTCCTGGCGAGCTCAGGGGTTGGTGGAGGGGAAGATGCCCCAAGCATGGGGAAAGGGGCACTGGGGACAGTGTGGCCTGGGAGGGGGCACTGCACTCCTCCAGAAGGACATTTCTCTAAGGTCAGGATCACGACTCCCTCCAGGAAAGGGGCAACGCTGGGGAAGGCGGGAACAAAAGGAAGTGGTGGAAAATGGTAGGCCAGTTGCCCCCACCGACACCTAACCCCCAGTACCTCAATAGTAGGGTTGCCACCTGGCCAGATTCTCCCAGGATTGTCCCTGTTTGAGATCGCTGTCCTGGGCTTCGGTCAGTGTGCTCCAAAAACTGGCCAGCTGGTCATGTGCAACGCGCTCAGGATCATCCCGAATGTCCCAGTTTTTTGTAGCTCAGAGATGGCAACCCTAGCTGATGGGCAAAGGAAAGGGGCAGCTGCTCCCAGGAAAGGGAAGGGGCAGACGTCCTCCAACAACACTGCCTCTCACCCTCCGCAGGTAAAGCTATTTTTCTTCTTTAAATGAACCCTATTTACTGAAATGTTTCCATTTCTTTAAAAAAAAATCTTCCATTTGATCTGGGTTTGCATATTCCCCTGCAGAGTTTGCACCCCAACCATTGCAACCAGGTGCTGGCACATAAGAATCCAGCGCGAAAAAGGGGTTATAAACAAACACAGAAGTAACGACAGCTGCGGGAAACTCAGAGCAAGCTACACAAATGGTGAAAAGTGAGCTGGATTTTTAAAGTTCTTTTGATTTTGGTAATCAAAGGTATCAGTGGTAAGTAACCTAGACAAGGGATTAAAAAAAAAAAAGATTTAAAATCTGATAGCGCCCCTTTGACAAAGCCCAACAATCCAAACCCACGGCCACAGTGCACCTGAAAGATGGGGCTATCCAGCAGCACAGGGGCATTGCATCAGGCTGAGCATTAGCCTTCCACTGAATTGCCATCCCCACTCCCAGCAGCACCTCCGGGCTCCTCAGAGGTCTCCCAGCCAAGGAATGACCTCACCTAGCCTGCCCTGCTTAGGGAGAGAGCTGTCAGGATGGCAGCATCTGGTGGCCCGGCTGTGGGCCCTGCCACCTCTCCTGCTAACCACAGCATGACAGCACACTGCAGGGGTTCCCGCCAAACCTCAAAAGGTTGTGACCCCATCACAACACATCCCCTGCCTTAAAGCTGCTCCACTTCAACTCAGGCCACACCCAACTTCCCCTCACTCATCAACTCCCCCAACTTCTGGGGCACAGACCAACGCCATCTGGCAGCTCATCCCCAAACCCTGGGGAAAGCACCGGCCAGAGCCAGCTGTCCCCCATCCCCGGAGCTCTAGCACAGGGAAAGCCTCACCCCAAAAGCCTTTTCCTCCACCCCACAATGTTGGAGCCCAAGACGGTCAACACGCCGCCTGCACCATGCCCAAACACAGAGACTGAAGGATGCTACCCGGCCTATCTCATGGACCCCATGGACAGGGGTCACACAAGCATGGCCATCCCTGGCAGTAGCTAGTCAGTGTCCCCAGTACCCCCACCTACACTCAACCAGACTCAAGGAGGGCAGCAGCTAGAGGCCAGGGGGAAATCTTGTTCCTGGTGGGCACTGGTCCAGGCCTAAGAGGGGCTGGGGGGGAAGGGGAGACTGCAAACTGGAGCAGGAGAAGGAGGCACTGGGGAGGGGGAAGGATGTACTGGGGAGACTGGAAGCTGGGGAGGTCGAAGTTGTGGGTGTGGACAGAGTGGAGAAGCAGCTGGGGGTATGGAAGAGGGGAAATGAAGGGGAAATGAAGTTATCCGGGGGTGGATGGTGGCGTATGGGGATGGGAAAGGACAGGAAGAGTGGGAAGGATCCCTGGCGAACGAAAGGGGGAAGGAAGTGCAGTGTAGGGGAGGGAAACTAACCCACAAAGGGGCTGGGAAAAGGAGGTTAGTGGGACTGGGGGGCTTAGTGCATTGCGCTCCTCCTGATGGGCGCAATGTGGGTAGTGCTGAAAGGCAGATTCATTGGGGCTCTCTCCCCAGGCAGGGTACAGGGGGGTCGTCTTCTCCCCCACACGTCAAAGGGGTGCATTGCAAAGGTGCACTCTCCAGGGGTGCACCGTGGGAGGTTGGAATTTGCTTCTACTGACAAGGAGAGGGTCTGCTGGAGTAGGATCCCCTGGGAAGGAGTTACATTCGGATCCACCCCCAGGGTGTGCAGTGCATTGGGGTCCCAAGGAAGGATGCCCTGGGTGGAGGGACTGCATCAGGGTCCCTTGGAGAGGCACAGAGAATACCCCCAGGAAGGGCTGCAGTGTCCCATGGTAGGGGGCTGCAGAGGGGTCCCCCAAGGAAGGAGTGCAGTAGGGTTCCTTGGGGGTGCAGCAGGCAGTATCCTGAGAGGGCAAGGGGCAGATCTGCAGGAAGGGGCACAGCAGGGTCCCAGAGTGGAGTGGGCAGCACCCCCAGGGTGCACAGGGCAAAGTCCTGGGGAAGGGTCACAAGGAGTCTCTCAAGGTGGGTGCAGCGGGGGGTCCCCAGGGTCAGTGGAGAGGGGTGCGGGGGGGGGGGCCCACGGGCGAGGCGCAGGGGAGTGCTCGGGGTCAGTGGTGCAGGAGGGTCCCCCAGGAGAGGTGCAGGGGGTCCCTGGGGTCAGCGATCAGGGGGGGTCCCCGGGGTCAGTGGGCAGGGGGTCCCGTGGGGGGAGGTGCAGGGGGTCCCCAGGGTCAGCAATCAAGGGGGCCCCCGGGGTCAGCAATCAGGGGTGCAGGGGGGTCCCCGGGGGGGTGCAGGGGGCCCCCCGCTCTCACCTCGAACATGAGCGCGATGAGCACGCAGAGCACCAGGCAGAAGCCGATGTCCGCGTGGTTGTGGATCAGGAACTCCTGGCTGAAGAGCGGGTGGCTCTTGGCCCGCCGGCGGAAGGCCATGGCCGGAGCGGAGCGGAGCGAGCAGCCCGGCCGCCCGCCGCTGCCTCCGCCCAGCGCCGCAAACTTCGCCCGGCCCGGAGCCCGGACAACTTCGGCAGCGCCGGGCCCGCGCCTGCGCCGACCGCCCCCGCCCGCTTAACCCGTCCCTGCCCGCGGGGCTGGCTCTCGGCCGGCCGGGCTCGGCTCCTCACCGCCCCCCAGCTCCTCCCCCGGCTCCCTGCCCTCCGGCATTCAACCCACCCCTTCCTCCACCCTGCCCAACCCCCCACCCTTCACTGACCTAGTAGGTCAGTGTCACGATTGTCAGAGGGGGAAACTGAGGCACGGAGCGGGACGGTGACTTCCCCAGGCTCGCCCCAGCAGGCCAGGGGCAGCGCTGGGAACAGACGCAAGGTCGCCAGAGTTGCCGCCCAGCGCGCTAGCCCCTAGGCGATGCTGCCTCCTAAACCCACTTTTTTCGGACTCCAGAGGTCTTAGAAACATACAGCCTTTACCCGCTGAGCATTATTCATGGGAGCAGCCTGCCTAAAGCCTCTGAGTGAGGACTGGGCCCCTCTGACTTTATTTTCAGAGGCATTAAACCCACACAGGTGCCTCGGACTTCCTGTTCACATCCCGATCATCTGACCCCAGGCTTCTCCCCTTTTAATATCCACAGGAACACCTATTGAATAATAATGCAGCACATTTTGAACACCTTTCAGACTCCAGGATTCAAGGTGCTTCACAAGTTACACACACAGAGCAGCACTGGAATGCAGCTGCTTCTGGGGTAGAGAGCAGCAGCCAGGCGGGAAGAGGATAATCTGGAGGACAAGAAGAAGTTGGCCAAGGTCTCCAGAGCAGAACACTTCGCAGAGTATCCTGGACTCATTAATATCCATTCTTATTTATTGATGGCCGCACCCCAAAGTCCAAGGCACTTTCCAAACACTGGAGTAGGGATGGGCTCTGTCTAAAGGGCTGACAGCCTAAGGACAGACTGAAAAGCAAAGGTAAGGGGAGAGGGATCAACAATAGACAATTTACATACAAGTCAACTCAGTTCACTATAGCCTGGCAAGGCAAAAGTGGGTTGTTAAGAGGGACTGAAGTGTGGACCAGGTAGGGTTTTGCAGATGAGCTGGGGGTCATGCCATGCATGGGAGAAGGCCACAGAAGACAGAGGTGATGGCAAGTAGCTTAGAAAAACTGGAAACAGACACTTTGTTTTTAAGATGTCATCTCAAAGACCTACACAGTAAACACGCTGGGTCAGCTCCTCAGCTGGTGTAAGCCAGCATAGCTCCCTTGGCTTCAGTGGAACAATGCTGATTGACACCAGCTAAGGATCTGGCCCATTCTGTCCTGGGAGAGTTAGAAGAAGCATGAAGGACTGACTGCTCCAGCTGGTTTGAAGGGGCTGCGCTGTTTCAAACCGGACACTTAGAGCACCGAGTGTCCCCTCCAGCCAAATACAGCATAGGGAATAGATTCCTGGCCTTACATGCTCTACGGAAGCAGAGATCCCTATTAGATAGGTCCTGATTAACTGGTGCAAATGACTGTGCTTTTCTCTCCATAAAACCCACACAATGTTGTTTAGAATAAGCAACTGAGAAACTCAAGGCTTCTTTCACTAAGGCCGGTTCTACACCTAAAATTTAGGTCAATGTAGCTACACTGCTCAGTGTAAATTTCACGTCCTACACAACATTGTTAGGTCGACCTAGCCCCTAGTGTAGACTCAGCTAGGTCGACGGAAGAATTCTTCTGTCAGCCTAGCTACTGTCTCTCGAGAGGGTGGATTGTGATGAAAAAACCCCTTCTGTCACTGTGCATGTCTACATCACAGCAGTATAGCTAAAACAATGCTCAGAGCCTGATCCTAAGAGTCGGATCCAAAGCCCACTGAAGTCAATGGATCAAGGGCTAACCCCTGATATATAACTTAGTAACAAAGGACTGAGCTCCGGGAACACTGGTCAGACAGGAGAAAAAAGGGTGATAAGCCTTGACTCAGTGGGAAGGAGAAACTAGGAAAGCACAGATGTTGAGGGAGACCAAACTAAGGGAGATTGTGAGGAGGTGTGGTCCTGGGAACTAGCCTAGGATTTGGGTGACCTGTATTCAAGTCTCTTCTCTGCCACAGACTTCCTGTGTGATCCTGGGCAAGTCACTTAGTCTCCGTGAGCCTCAGTTCCACATCTGTTAAATGGGGAAAATAGCAGTTCCCTATTTCTCAGAGGTGTTCTACATTAGAGACTGTGAGGTGCTCAGATACTATTGTAGTGAGGCCCACATAGGTACCGTAGTTGGATAGCAGTGAACTAGATGTGCCATACAGTAAAAGATCCCTGGATTTCCGGTTATGCGCTGGCAAGCATCACATCCTGGAGCAGGCAGACGATGGTCCCTCCCTGATCAGCTCTGACATGGCCACACCTGAGCCCCTGTTTTATTCCATGTCACTATGGATTGCCTGTGCTGTGTTAGTGCCCAGGAGCCCTACTCAGGATTGCAGTCCCCACTGTGTTAGGTGCTGTCCAAACACCTAAGGAGATGCAGTTCCTTTGCCAAAGATACTGAGAAATTGGACACTGCTTGGAAAAGAGCGAGAAAAATGAGCACAGGGCTGGAGGGACCAATGTAGGAGGAAAGATTAAAAGATAAAATAGCTTGTCTAAGTGACTGCTAAAGGAAGGGCTTGAGAACAGTCTAATTTGAAGGGTGCCACCACCAAGGGTGGGGAGGAACTGCTGGGTCAATACCTAGGGATTGTAATGGGGGTGAAACTAACAAAGTGGGGTGTTTAGACTGAGTATCAGGAAAACCTGTACAAAACCTGGAGCTGGGGAAACAAGAGGGAATACTTTTTCACGCAACACACAATTAACCTGTGGAACCCATAGCCATGGGATGTTGTGCTAGCCAAAAGTATAAATGGGTTCAAAGAAGAACTAGATAAGTTCATGGAAGACAGGTCCATCAATGGCTATGAGCCAAGATAATCAGGGATGTAACCCCATGCTTGGGCTGAACCTCAACCTCTGACTACCAGAAGATAGGAGGGGAAGACGAGGTGGATCTTTCCAATATTGCTCTGTTTGGTACAGATAGACCTGGGCTAGATAGACCATTAGTCTGACCCAATAACGCAGCTCTTATGTTCTTCTCTTGTCCATCTGAGAACAGCCAGTCAGACCCACCAGATCACCTAATCGTTAGGTGGAAGAGGATCCACAGGGAAGCCAGAGGCACCTAGATGGAGGAACTGATTTTCTAATCACTGACACCAGTTCAGAACAAGATTGACTCCATCTAAATCCATGAATAAGGGAGAGAAAGATCAACACCCAGGGTCATGATCCTCACTGGAGCGGAGATGCCTCCACTTGGGCTTGTTTCACAGAATCAGGTCTATGTTCAGGGGCTGTGGCTGGGGGTGTTTTGCTTTCAGTCTCCAGCTGGGAACTGGAGTGGGCGGAAAGAGCTCACAGGGGAGTCAGCTGGCGAATCAGCTGCACTGTGTTCGAGTCAGCATTCCTGGGCTATGGCGTGTCAGCCAGACCCTATATGGAACTGGGCAGAGTTTGCTTTTTAAAAGAAAAGCCGTTCCAATTGGTTTTCTTTCCAACGGCCAAAAACGTTAGGCATTTTTTAAAAAAAGTGGAATGAAACTGCCGCCGATAGACCAGGGGGCTCAGTTATGCTCTCTGTTACAGAGCCAGGGAAGGGATAGCAGGGGGCAAATGAGCACGAATCATAGACTCAGAGATATTCAGAAATGCAAGACAATCCAGGCCTGTCCTTTGGACACGTAACCTCCTGGAGGTGGAGTGGAAGCTGCTTAGAGCGAACTCGGACATGGGGACACTCCGTTCTAACTAGAGGTGGGCCCAGGTCAAAACCCCAGCTCTGAACTTGCCCAGACTTTGGGAGCGTTCAGAAAACCAGGAACGACAGAGCTAGCTGAAAAACACCAATTATTTTTTCCTGGGAAATACTGAAAAAAATTGCAGCTTTTTTGTTTTCACATTGAACATTTTTTGGTTGATAAAAGTCAAACCTCTAATAAATGCTGATTTTTGAAACCTGCTTTTCAAAACCTGTAAAAGCATTCACTGGCAAACTGGGGGAAAAAATTCTGTGAAAAAATTCATTTTTCATCAAAGCTACATGGCTACAGAAAAACATCAACTAGTTCCTCACTCCCACCCCTTCCTTTTTGGGGTGAGGGGCCCCATCCACCCCTGCTTTACTGGTTAGACTGGTGTAGAATGAAAGTGCTGCATTGTTTAACTGAACTGGAATGCAAATCCTGTTTCTAGGAATCCGCTACTTATAGTGAAGTTGTTTTTTTAAAAAACGACAGGCCAGCTGGGGTTATGCTGATTGGCACCATCTGAGGATTTGTCATTTATATAGCACTGTTTGCCAGTGTGTAAGTTTTGGGTCTGTATTGTCCCCTTGTTGGAAACCCCAGCAGAGCACTCAATGATTGGATACGTCTAAACAGATGTGCATCAACGGCGAAATCCCTAGGCAAGAGTCTAGTACTTGGATTTACGAACAGTAGGAGCACCAGGATTTTTAAAATGGCAAAAAATCCATAATAAATGGCAGTAACATGGGAGACATCCACTTCCTTAAGGGCACCTGGGGACACTCACACGTGGAGGAGTTGGATCCTAGCACTAGAATCCAATTCGTACATAGAACTTCATCACAACCATGACACCAGTGCTGGGTTCCAAAGGTGAAGTTACAACACACAAAGAAAAGGAGTACTTGTGGCACCTTAGAGACTAACCAATTTATTTGAGCATAAGCTTTCGTGAGCTACAGCTCACTTCATCGGATGCATACTGTGGAAACTGCAGCAGACTTTATATATACACAGAGACCATGAAACACTACCTCCACCCACCCCACTCTCCTGCTGGTAATAGCTTATCTAAAGTGATCACTCTCCTTACAATGTGTATGATAATCAAGTTGGGCCATTTCCAGCATAAATCCAGGTTTTCTCACCCCCGCCAGCCCCCCACACAAACTCACTCTCCTGCTGGTAATAGCCCATCCAAAGTGACCACTCTCTTTACAATAAGAAAAGGAGTACTTGTGGCACCCTAGAGACCAACCAATCCACCTGAGCACAAGCCCTCGTGAGCCACAGCTCACCTCATCAGATGAAGTGAGCTGCAGCTCATGAAAGCCCATGCCCAAACAAATTGGCCAGTCTCTAAGGTGCCACAAGTCCTCCTTTTCTTTTTGCGAATACAGACTAACACGGCTGTTACTCTGAAACCTCTCTTTACAATGTGTATGATAATCAAGGTGGGCCATTTCCAGCACAAATCCAGGTTTTCTCCCTCCCCCCCCTTTTTCCAAAAACCACACACACAAACTCACTCTCCTGCTGGTAATAGCTTATCCAAAGTGACCACTCTCCCTACAATGTGCAACACACACTGGCTGCAGGTGTTAGGTAGGCATATCATCCTGCATACAAGTTACGTGTTGGCTACCGCCCGTCTTCCTCGGCTCCCATCTGTTCACAGGAATGGGGTGGTATCAATACCAGTGCAAGCAATGTTGCGAGCTCTCCTCCTCCTGCATCCCAAGCTATTCTCTAGAGAGCTGCGTTTGTAACAGATCTGCTTTGTGACTTTGAATGGCAGCGCCCTCTCATGGCCAAAGAGAAATCAATCACCTCTCAGTGGCGCAAGTGTTTTTGTGTGGATGAGCACCAGGGTAAGAGCTACAGGCCTTGGCTATGAACTCCCGGCCCTTCCCTTACAGAAGCGATTGGATGCAAAGGTGGCAGGTGCCATTATTATGAATAATAAAAGTCAGTAGCAGCAATCACAAAAAGGGAATTTAGGAGAATATCTAACTCTGTTTCAGAAGTGATGAGCACCTCCAAGCTCCACTAAAGTTGGGTAGGGCCAACCTATGAAAATCAGACCCATGATTTGTAGTGTGACAATGTCCCTTTATGACAGGTTTCAGAGTAACAGCCGTGTTAGTCTGTATTCGCAAAAAGGAAAGGAGGACTTGTGGCACCTTAGAGACTAACCAATTTATTTGAGCATGAGCTTTCGTGAGCTACAGCTCACTTCATCGGATGCATACCGTGGAAACTGTCAGAGTGGCTGGCCTGGTGATTTTGGGATCCAATGTACCTTTTGTTAGGCTGGAAGGCACGCTGCATTTAGATTTTCAGTGGGAGAAAATCAATGCTGAGACAAAATAGGAAGATGATCAGCAGGGAGCTTATTTATTTGTCCAGTTTATAACATGTGCCCATTGCGATCTCTAGCTGCATGTACCAAAGATATAACCCCCTCTAGATTAATAGGTTTCAACTGACAACAATTAATGCCAGGAACAGACAAAACATTTTGTGCACAACCGGTAATTCCAAACCCCTCTCCTCCAAGTTTGTTACATGCAGCTGGGAAATCTTCCAGCCAAAACTAGGCATTTAGAATGAACTAAATATACATCAGCTCAAGATATACGGCCTGTCTTTTTTGCTTTGTGTTGGTACAACACCTAGCACAATGGGGTCCTGCTGCATGACAGGGGCTCTTAGGTGCTACAATACATATAATCCAGATCGCTCTAAATTCAAATGGGGGAGTTTGGTTCTAAGAGCTTGACCCAGAGCCAGCTGTGCATAGGGTATGTCTACATTACAATCACTCCGTGCGACTGCAGTTTGAGTGGTCACACCCAAGCTAGCTTTATTCGAGCTGTGGCAGGCAGCAGAGCAGCGAAGCTGTGGCAGGCAGCATGTGCTTCAGCACAGGCTAGCCCTGCAAGTAATTAGCCAGGATTCCTGGCAGGCTTGTACAGCTCAACTTGCCGCGGCTTCACTACTCCCATAGTCTAGCGACATGTCTATTCCAGCTGCTCTCTCACCCTGCGACTGCAGGGTAGAATGCAGTCGCTACCCCCACCTTGGCTGTAACATCACCGCAATGTTATCCTTTAATGAAGCTGCATAATGGGACGGGGCCAAAAAGGCTGGCAGTGCCCTTTCAGATATGCTGTCCCCTAGGTGCATGTGGCTGCTCAGCTGGGAAGCATGACGAGATCCTTCTTCGGGTGTAATTGTGCAAACCCACCCTGGCTGAATTCTGCTGGCTCTAGGCAGAGTATGGCACAACTCACCATGAGCAGAGGGGGGCAGAATCAGCCCTTAGTGCAGGGATCGGCAACTTTTGGCCCGCGGCCCGCCAGGGTAAGCCCCCTGGCGGGCCGGGACGGTTTGTGTACCTGCCGCGTCTGCAGGTTCGACCGATCGCGGCTCCCACTGGCTGCGGTTTGCCATTCCAGGTCAATGGGGGCTGCAGGAAGCGGCGCGGGCCGTGGGATGTGCTGGCTGCCACTTCCCGCAGCCCCCATTGGCCTGGAACAGTGAACCGCAGCCACTGGGAGCCGCGATCAGCCGAACCTGCAGACACGGCAGGTAAACAAACTGTTCCGGCCCGCCAGGGGGCTTACCCTGGTGGGCCGCGTGCCAAAGGTTGCCGATCCCTGCTTTAGTGCATGATATCATGAGGATTTCCATTAATTTCCCATTAACAGGCTCAGTAATGAGTTTGCAAAATTGGCCCTGCCACAAGCCCCCATGGATGAAGCCGCCCTGAGACATCAGCAAATCCCTCAGTCTGGCAACCCAGAAAGCGAGTGTCCAAAAACCAAACTCCTCAGTAAAATGGCTTTGCTCAGGCTCTGGAGTGCCAAGTGTTTACACTTCCTTTGATATACAGTAACCAAGCAGAAAGAAAGAAAAGCCCTGGTGTTGCAGCCTGGATTTCAACGAGATGCCAAAGCCAGCTGGAGCAAGGTCAGAAAACATTTCCACTGAGAAGAAATGAAATCCCACAGAAAGCTCTCCCAGCGATGCAGCCAGGCTCCCAGCAGACACGAAGCCATAGGAGATCACTTGTCCCCACTCACGCATGTGGAAGAGTTCCTTGTGCATCTGGGAAGACAAGCCAGGTCCTGGACCAGTTGTTTTCCCAGCTCACTATCCGTATTTCTCATTCAATTTAAGGGTGATGTCTACCCTGGGATGAGAGATTCAGGCAAGATCCTCACAAGCCATTTACCTCCCAACTTTGGCCTCCACCAGGAAGGAGGCAGTGGGTGGGGCATTTGGACAGGTGATCTCTTTTCGAGTGGGCTCCATGTCAGCCCTGGTGGGATACAGGGGAACAGCTTTTTGTTTAGCATCACCACCATCACCCAGTCCCTGCCCCAAGGTGCTCACGCTATAATATTCAGTGGATCCGGCAGCGCCACGGCTCCCACGCTAGTGGGACAGAGGCTGCGTTCACAGATCAAACCTATGAACTGATTGGGCTGCAGCCTCGGGTGAGGGGGCGTATTTTGCTTCCCCCTAACTCTGCACACATCACCCTTTTAATACTAGGCAGATGAAGCTTCATGAGCATCCCCCATCTTCCCCTCAGCCCTGGGTTTCATCTGCTTGTAACCTAGATGGCAAGTTCTTTGGGGCAGAGGCTGTTTTTTAAATAAGTGTTTGTACAGCACCCAGCACATCCTGGGGGGGGGGGGGAGTACGTTACTGTAATATACATAAATAATAAATGGTGGGGGGTGATTGTCAAAGCAACCCAACTCCTATTGCAAGTCAGGGGGAGATGGGTCCCTAGCTCCTACCTGTTCCTTTGAAAGTCTCCCCAGTAGCAAGACGCTGGTGAAGTGAACACCAGCCTAATATAAAGCAGAATCCCCTGCGTGGTAAAATTGTTTACACTGTACAAGCAACAATGACAAAGTATGTCAATGCTGTAAAGGGGGCCAGATCTCCAACTGGAGGTGGACACCAACCTCCTATGAATCCCATGGGGGAATTATAAAGGCAGTTCTCTGAAGAAGACAGATGGTCCAGCAGTTAGGGCAGGAGTCTAGTACGTGGGACATAGGCTTTCAAGTCCCTGCTCTGTCACTGTGTGAGACCTTAGGCAAGTCACTTAGCCTCTCTGTGTCTCAGTGCCCCACCTGTAAATTGGGATACAATGCTTTCCTGAAAAATACTTAAGAGTGTAAGGCAGACATTATGGTAAAGGGAACTATATGAGTAGCTGAAATAGACTGCATCGACTCATCTAGGAAAGCCAGGACATTCTGAACTAAGGCAGAAACACTGGGTCAGAGTCACCAGGCTGGGATGAAATTGGCTCACATGCATTAACTCCCTCGGGGGTGTCCAGCAGTCGTTGCACAGAAAATCAATCAACGGCTGCATTATTCAGATACAGCGGAGCTAAGCTAGAATCTGGCTTACCTCCAGCTCTCCTTGCTTTTGTTCAGCTGAGGATGGTTAAAGTTGCAACACAATATGTGTGTTGGCTTTTTGTTTGAAGGTCCAGCTGTGCCTGGAATCCAGCAGACCTCTTCCATGCGTCTTGTCGAACTTTCACTATATTGCACATGTCAGCAGGGGGGATTTTAAGCACATTATGGATCCTCACTGTGAAGTAGATACTATAGCAACATCAACTGGAGTCTAGAAGGGCTAAGTGATTCTCCCAAGTTCCCACCCACATTCCTACCCCTTGCTGACCTCCAAGCTCCCTTCACAGTGGCTGCAGGCACCCACCTTCGCTTTGCCTGCAACTAGAGCAAAATGCTCCCCCCCCGACCCCCAGGGAGGAGCACAGGCCTCTGGCTATACTTAAGATACTCATCTGGCCCCCATCACTCTAGTAGTACATTAAATCCCACCAAATGAGGGTAAATGCATCCTCATCATTGTATCCACTCATTATACTCCACACCTGAACATAGCCATCATATGAACATACCCCCATATCTCAATGTCTGTACTTTGACCCGTTAACCTTTTACCCCCAATCAGGGAGATTGCAGATTATGTATTCCTTCCGCAACCCGTTCCTAAACCGAATTTCGCACCCCTTGATAATCTGTACCTTATTCCCTGACAACCAGAAACTTCTATGCTTAAACTCTGTACCGTTTTCTTTTTACTTCAACAGCATCTTAATAAAATTATTAAATCTGAGCGCTTTAAACTCTCAGGTATTTAACTTCTCAACACCCCTGTGAGGTAGGGCTGTACGGTTATCCCCATTTACAGATGGGGAACTCAGGCACTGAGAGACTAAGTGAGTTGCCTAAGGTCACACAAAAAGGCTGGGGCAGAGAAGGGAATTAAACCCAGCTCTGAAGCCCTAGGCAAGTGCTCGAACCATTGGGACTGATTCGCCATGCTTCCCTAGGCTGCAGGAGATGCAGCCACACCCATTTCCATCACCCCTCCTTTTCATTAGCCTTGTTGGGCAGGGGGAAGTTGTGTGATGCAGGAGAGCTCCCTGCAAAACCTCCTTTCTCCTCATTGAGAGAGACTCTGGCTGAGCTGTTCAATATGGTCATGCTCGCATTTCCTTTTCTGGGGCAAAATTTCAGCTTGAGAACGGCTGAGTTTCTCAACCAAAAGAACGTTGTTTTGCGAAACAAAACAAACCAATAAGCACATATCAAAAATAGAGAAAAATAAAATGGAATCTAAAACCTGAGATTGTCTCAAAATTGTTTTCTGGTTTTTCAGCCTGCTCTAACCAGAAATAAGACACATGGAACCAAGGCGGGGCCCTTCATTGACTATTCTAGGTGTGACTCTTTTGTGTTTAGAGACAAATAACCTTTTCCTCCTTTTCTACAATGGAAATGGAACGATAGCGCATTTGCATCGGAACTGCCGTTAGTTGTTGTTTGGTGTAAAGCTATGCAGTGGCTTGTTTTCCAAAGGTGAGACGCAGCAGCCCAAATTACATTTCTGGGGATACAGCACCCATCAATTAACACAACACATCCAAAAACTCAGACAGTATTTGCTACTTTTTGTGGTTTTTAAAAACACCAGTCAGTCAGAGAAACTGTCAAAGGTAAAAGCTTCATAAAAGCTGAAGGATGGAGCCACTACCGTGCCTCCATAGTATATCTGCTGATATGGGGTTCGTGAGATTGGAACTCACTACAAACGTCTCTTTCCATACCGAGCGCATCCAAAATGCTCTTTTATGGTTACAAAAAAAATAAAATCCAGAGTTAGTTACACGGGAAACTAGCTTCAATGTGACATTAGCACCCAATCATTAGTTAAATACATGAACATCCATGTTGTGAAACCTGCCCATCTAGGCATGTCCAAGCTGTTAAAACTAAATCAAAATAGGGAAGGGAGCTTTTATTGCTCGCCCGGTCAGTAAATCAGGGCTCTCCTCCTTCCCACACTTCACTACCAGCTCCCTCTGCAGGGTGTTATTGACATCTCACTGGCAGCAGGCCATGTTAGTGGCTCAGCAGGATAATTCTGCAGGTTGTAGCCAATGCGAGTGGGTTAGTGCTCAAAGACCAATATGACTTCACTTCTTTTGTTAAATGAGGAGGGAAATGAATTTGCCTGGGCTTGAAATAAATGACTCTACACATTATTGTTCTGGCTAAGCGAAGCAACGCCCAATTCCATCCCCACCTGTTCTCTGTTCCTGCTTCAGTTGGGCTGGAGTCACTGCCTGGAACTGACAAACCATCCATTGTAACTGAATGCTCAGGCATGGCAAGGACATTTTAGGGGGCCATTTATTCACCCTGCTATCTGTGTCTGTGCGTTGGGTACTGGCAAGCTACAGACTGTGACCCAAGCCAGCAGCTCGCTGACCAGGCCTCTCAGCTGTAGTGCAGAGGTGTCCCTTTAAGGGCACGCCAGAGTCCAGCCAGCCCTGCTCCAAGGCTCAACCCCTCAGTTTCCCCCGACGGATCACGTGACCAAGCGGGAAGTCAGCCCTGGTTGGAGCTGGGGTCAGGCAAGGTCTGTGCTCAGTCTGGGAGACAGAGGAATTGAAGCAAGATCTAGAGTGAGGCCTTCTCTAGGGAGCTGGGGAAGAGGCCTGGAGACAAAGCAGTTGGGTGGAGGACCAAGGAGAAGGCTGGAGAGAAAGCCTGAGCAGAGCAGGCCAGCGTAGGAAGCGGCTCTGGGACAGGCAGGATTCTGCTCCTGATTTAGAGTATGTCTACACTGCAGCCGGGAGCAAGTCCCCCGGCTTGGGTAGGCAGACTCGTGCCAGGGAAGATCACGGTGCTTTGTTGTGAACTCGTGTTTGCCCTGAAAGGGAAAGACACTTGCTTCGGGCAGAGGTCAGGGTACAAAAACCACCCAGCCGCCCCGGCAGCAGCTGTTCCTCCAAGCTGGGGAGAAGCAAGTAGCGAGGGAAACAACCCTCTGGAACGAGGGCTGCTAATGGCCAAGTTTCAAGACGTTGTCACAAATACATAAGAGGCACCCTGCTTTAGTTGGTTAGTAAGATCTTAAAATGCCTGATTTAACATCTGTACCTTCCCTTTGCTGCAGGCAGCAGAGCTAGGCCAATGTCGCGGAGACTACAGTTCCTACTGCTGCAGCCTATCCTCAGTCTTAGAGTCAGAGCCAGGCAGAGAGGCTGGCATTGCTAGCATGCTCTGTGCAAGCCACTCGGCCAGTTTCCCATCAACCACCTCTCCTTTCCCAAGTAGTTAATGCATTAGAAAAACGTTTGCATTTTTGCTCTGATGCACTTTTAAGCTGTAAAAGTGACTGAAAATCATGGCTGGTGCTGGATATGTGCTCGTTCCTGAGCAGTGGAGGATTCCGTAGCCCACTGTTAGTCACCTGAGACAGTCCCTTGCCCAGTCCAGTGAATGCCTGCCATCGCAGGATTTCACGACTAATGGAACAGCCCTCCTGGCCCACCCACTGAACCCTAAACATACCCAAGTACTGCCGTCACAACCGCCATTAAGCAGCAGAATTGCTGCCCCAATACTTAAAGCAGGTTCTGCTACTGCCAATTTACTATGCAACTCCTGCCATTGTGTCCCCAGATTGCAGAAGAGCGTGGCCATTTTAGAGGGAGCAAGCACACATCTCCAGAGTTGGACTCTAGCAGGAGCGGTAAGAGACAGCACACAACTGGGGAGCTACTCTGCATGATACAGTACGTGGATGCAGGAAGGAGGAATCTAGCAACGTACTCACAGCAGAAAAGGTTAGAGCTCCAGACAGACACGAACTGGAGCTGTACGCTCCTATGGAGACTTAAGAGTAAATTATTAACAAGACACCAAGGGACTAGATTGGACACCAAACACAGGGCCCCAGTTGGTTCATTTACAGTCTCATTCCATTACAACTGCTCCATCAACCCCGTCAGTTTCGTCCTCTCCTTTGCCTCCCCCAACCTGCAGTCCTGGCTGGGCGGGTCAGCCTTGGGGGTGGACGTGTAGCACGGTTCCTCAGCTGGCCTTAGTCTCCTCTTCACAGCAGCAACCCAAGTCCCAACGGATGTGGTGCCCCCGTGGTTGCACTGTGCCTTCCGGACTCCCTCCTGCTCAGTGAGCTCCGAGGTCTCCTCGGATGAATTCAGTGCATTGCACTGATGGGTGCAGCAGAAGGACGGACTGCTCTGCAGCAAGCCAGGAGTGCCAACGCCCAGGATTGGACTGATATTAGCCATGGTGATGGGGAAGCCATCTCCTTTACCTACAGTGTTGTCAGTTACAGGCCTGAGCCTGCTGTCCTCCACCAGCTCCACAAGGCCATCAGCCGCACAGCTGGCTGCTCCCCCACCTCCGTTCAGAGATGCAGTGACCTCTGCATTGGCACTGAAATACAGAGTGGGACTCTCGTGCATCTGAGCTGTCCCTTCTGGGTGCTCCACAATGGCTTCCAAGTCAGAGTTGCCGTTGGCACTGCGGTTTGGAGCGAGAGGAGCGGACACGCCTCCCGCTTTGTCTGCCTGAGCTTCATGTCTGCTCGTCAAGCCTGTGCAGTCGGGGGCTTTTGCCGTTGGCCTGTGCTCCTCTGGCAGGGTTAGCGGCGTTATTACAGAGTACGTGTTGTGTTCGCTGCTTGCTAAAGTGAGGTAAGTAGTCTCCTTTCTGCTCAGGCTTTCTCCAGCTCCGTTCTCTTCTGCCTGAAACCTCTGTCCTACCACTCTGGCTTTAGGAGTTCCAGGGCATTTTCCCATTGAAGAAAAGCCAAGATTGGTCTTCGGCCCAAGCATGGCACTGCAGTGTTTGCTTGCCACCAATCCTGAAGGGTAAAGCTCCCCAATTCCACCATCTCCAAAGGCTGCGTTGATCTTGGACACATCCCCAGTTTTCAAGGCTAGCTTTACCAACAGCCAGTGATGATGGTTCACCCAGCTGTCCTTCACAGAAGTATGACCCTCAAGTTCTCCTAGTGAGATCTCACTGTGTGCTCTAGAAGCAGGCCTGGTATGCACCACCTTGGAGACTTCTGCATTTGAAGAGACAATGTCCCCCTGAGCTGAAATTCCAAAGCTCTCCCCAGCTTCGTTTATGGACCGGAAAGTGGATCCTTCTGTCCCGTTATACTTTGCAGTTGTGATGCTGCAAGATTTCTTCAGGAAACTCTGCCAGATCTCTGTGGATTTGGGGTGTAGCAGACTATAATAGATGACCAGAGCGGCAGAGCCTGAAAGAAAGCAAAGGGGAACAAGGTGACATTTTTGCCAACACCCCAACATTGTGGCATATAGTGCGAAACAGTTAGGGATACTGATGTGATTAGGTATCTAAATAGTGGTACCATGGCGGATATTCAGTGGAGTGCAAAGTTGCCGAGGTAGGGTCTGCTTTACAATTTAAGCGTTTTCAGTTGCTTATGTAAAGGACGCAACTGTAGCTGTGTCACGGGGAGGGAAAACGCACCAGTAGCTAGATGCAACCTGGCTGCCGGAATCTATACGAAGAATGCTTCTGGGAGCATGAATACCACTTGCTAGGACCGTCACTTGATGGGTTCATGTGCAGAGATAAGCAGTCCCTAAGTACTGGGAGGTGATATGTGAGGGCAACCATCCACCTAAGACAAGGATCCAACAGGAGACTTGAGCAGAGCGAAGCATCTCTGCACCACCGCTACCTAGTCAGAAGGGACGTCACTTGGTTTTAGACCCAAATTTAGCACTCATTCAACGCAGACTTACTGCTTGCCAGTGGAAATTATTCCAGAGTGCTTACTCAAGGCATTTTCTTTAAATCAGACTGAACTGCTTCTCCAACTCTCACAGCCTTCCAGCCTTCCGGTTGTGCTGCGGGGAGTTCCTCATTTTATTCGGGCCACCAACGTCCTTTGTCACTGGCAGATTGAGGTTAAGAGCTTGTGGTTAGCAGAGGATGTAGGAGGACAAGGCGTGGGTGGCCGAATAGCAGCTCAGAAATAAGAACATACGCCACTCCTAACTCCAGTCCAGAAGACAGTTCTGCACCAGGTTTGGTGCACAGCCACCGGGAGGCCGGGAAGAGGGTTGGGTGAAGAACAGCCCCAAGCTCCGCAGGGCTCAGGATGCAGAGAGATGGTGTTAGAGCAACACCGGGCTGGGAGGCCCGATGAACAGGAGCCGCTGGGCTCTGGGGTTGTATTTCTGGAAAAAGGCATTCAGAAAACAAGCTGGCGGAAGGAACACCAGTGGATTAGTGGTGCCATCGTGCAGTGAAGCAGCAACGCAGAGCTGCTTCTAAAGAACAGCTCCTTGTCAGCCCAGGAATAGAGAGCCCCAAAGGGGACGTCTAGGGCAACGTTTTCAAAGGCTCCTAAGTGACTGAGGCGCTTTTGAAAACATTACCCCCAGACTCGTTGAAAAAGAAAGCCAACGGCAGGAGAGAAGTTAATGGAATCAGTTAGACTGCACGATTCCCTCTGAGCTGCATCGTGATCAAATGCAGGATCTGCTCCGTGCCAGGCAGAATATTGCCCAAGTCCCAGCCCCTGGCCTGAGTGGCAGTGCGTGGAGTGATGACGGGGGGCAGGGAAGAAAAACAGCAACGGTGGTTTAGTGAGGAGTTAGGTGCTTGATGCTTCCCTCCCACAGTAAAGGAAATGACTTCCCACGGAGATGCTGACAAGGTTGGAGCCAGGCTCCCTCTACAATGCAAGGGTGCGCAGACTTGGAGAGCAGGATTGGGGCTGGGGGGGGAATTGGCAAACCCCCAAGGGTCAGCAAGAAAAGCCGAACACAACCCAGTGGAGATAAGGACAGCCATGGGGCTTCCCCCGCAACTCTGCCCATGGCAGCTGATCCCTCCTGAGGTATGTGGGAGGGAAGCAAGTGAATTAACTGCTCACTACCATGGACTTGGGAGTTACAGCCTTGGAGAGAGGAAACCACTCCCGGCTTCAGTGGCTGCTTCCCAGCCCGTCCTGTGCCCCTCCTACCCCTGACTCGAGTCCCAGGGTCACTGCAAGCCTGGGACAGTCCCTTGGGGGTGGAGAGCATGTTGTGGAGAAGTCAGTGCCCCCACCCCATCTACGCGGGTGGAGAGGAACAAAAGGCACACGCTGAGCTGCAGTGAGTTACAATAGGGGACAATATTGTGGTGAGCAGTCACAATGAGAAAGAATCAAGGCTAATGTTTTCTCGTGCAAGTCACTACATTGTTGCAAAGAATCATAGAATATCAGGGTTGGAACGGACCTCAGGAGGTCATCTAGTCCAACCCCCTGCTCAAAGCAGGACCAATCCCCAATTTTTGCCCCAGATCCCTAAATGGCCCCCTCAAGGATTGAACTCACAACCCTGAGTTTAGCAGGCCAATACTCAAACCACTAAGCTATCCCTCCCCCCGAGGATAGTTATGCCCAACATCCTTCACAAGGCAGGGCCGCATTCAGTCCTCAAGCACATGCATCTGCCTTAATGAGAGCCGCAATCACCTGCCAAGGGCCAAATCTGATCCCTGAAAGATCACCCACATTTCTGCATAGTCCTTCATCAACATACTCTCAGCCAGAAGAAAGGAACACACCTTAACAAGACCAATCTCTCTTGCACCCCTATTCATTTAATTGGCAAGTGTTTCCTAACAGTGATCCTCCATACTATAGCATTACCAATCCCAAGCGCTCAAAAACCATGAGTCAAGCCCCCAAAATCACGAGACTTTTTAAAGCCAATCATAGCATTTGCTTCCTGGTTTCGGAGCCTTCAGGGTGCACTGCAGTCATGTTTTCAAGCATCCCTCTGCTACCATGAGGGCTAGGAAGTCACCCTTTTTAAAAGGGAAAGCCAAGATTGACTCCATGTTAGGAACCGGGACGCAGGTGGTCTGGCCTACTGTCAGAGCATGGGGGTTAGATCTAGTGGGCAGGCATCCAGGCAGGGAATGGACGTGAAGAGTCGGAGCTGGTGTTTACTCCCAAGTACGAGAGCCAGGAGGCTGAGCCGAGTTGGGGCCAGGAACCATAGCTGAGGATCAGAGTCAGGGTTGGATATGAAATGCCAGAGCCAAGGGTTGAGCCAGTCAGAAGTCAGGGGCGGGGTTCAAAGCCAGGGTTGGCAGCCCATGGTCAGGAGCAAGATGAAAGGGCAGGAACCAGGGAGAGGCAAGGATCAGGCACAAAACAGGATCAAGGCAGGAGCTAGGAACAGGTCAGGAGTGGAGCAGGAATCAGCACCAGGCTTAGATCAGGTTTGCAGGAGACAGGCAAGAGCAGGGTCCCATGTGGCCGCAACAGAAAGTCTTCACAGCAGGTTGGATGGCCCACTCGGGTCACTTCCTGGCTTAAGTAGCAGATGTGAGCCAATCAGGCGGCTGCAGGCCTTTAGCGCTCAGACAGAACTTCCCATGGGGCCTGACTTTCCAAGTTCAGCGAGATGGTGGCCCCGAGGCAGTGTCAACGATCCAGAGACCCCGGGTTCTAGACCTGCACCCTCAGATCCTTCCACTATGACTCCATGAACCAGAGCTTTCAGAAAAGATACTGACCCTCATGAGAAAATTGTGAGAGTTGGCAACACTATTCTAGAAAGGTTCTTACAGTGCTCTCATCAACATAGCATCTGAGCACCTTCTGATTCACAGCGCGAGAAAGCAACAGATCTTACCAATCACGAATCCAGCCATCACAGCCCCTGTCATAAACAGGCTATCCCGCCGCACCCCCTGCAGGAGATCTGTGGCCAACATCAAAAGGAAGATGTTCTCTATCAGCATTATCTGCAGGGCAAAGGAAAGATAGCTGTCACTCAGAGCTGCATGTGCACGAACTGGTTGTAGACATGCCTCCTACCGTGGAGGGAGTTAAATGACACACGTGAATAAGTTCTAAGCTTTACCTATTTATTTTGCTCTCACTTGCTATCATACTCTGAGCTCCCGCTACCATTCTGGCCTTCCCCCCCACGTAGGTTTTGAATAGAAATGAAATATGGCTCTTTGCTTGTGACAATAAATTGCAAGTTTTTAATCGTACCTTTTCTGTGCCAAAGCATCTCCACACAGCAGCACCATGGAACAGGTTCAGCACAGATCTGGGAGCAACGCCAAACACCTCAGAACCAGCCACGCGCACGTGTTTCCCACTAACAATAACAGTAGCAGCCATTATTGTATTTAGAAGGAGCCTCCCAGAGCTGCCAATCTGCCCCTTTCATGAGCACTAAATTCACTTTGTCTTTATAACCTCTTCGATTCTAGAAAAGTATCCACTCCACTGACTGTAGCAGGGATTTTCAAGTGGAACTGATGTTGCCAACATAAAAACGTAGCTAAGCATGATGCTAAAATAAGAATAGTCAAATCTCATGCCTCAGGGCAGAGAATGATCATTAGAAGGGTCAGGAAGTAAGTGCCACCCCAGGGAGCACTGCTGTTAGAAGTAGGAGATGGGGAAATGGCTCACCTGAAGCATTAGGTGAAGGTCACAGCTGGAAGCCCCTGTTACTGTTCATTATGGCCAGACTCTATGGGCTACATTGTAGGACACACAGAAGCAGCCATGGCCCTTACTGCACAGGTCTTATGGTTAGATTAGTTCTTAATAGTTTTCGTTGTTAGCGACTGTGACTAAGAGCCAAGAGGAGATCGAGCACTTACCACATAAAACACAGCCACTCTGTACCTGGAGGGGCCGGCCTGGACATTAATGTAGCAGAAGATGTACACAGCCCCCACCAGGAAGTTGAACAGTCTCCAGTGACAGGAACTCACTATGATGTCAGTTTGCTGAGACACCAACCAGAAGGACATCACCAGCCAGTGAGCACCTGGGTGGGGAAGGCAGAGAGTAAAAAGCAAATTAGTTGCTGTGGTGAGCTGAGGGGTAAAGCTAGCAAATCTCACAAGCATCAGCAGTGAGGGACCGCTGGCAAGAAGCCCTGAAGGTGGATGGAGAAATCAGATCACTGCCAGGATCGATGTGCAAAGGAACAGACTCTCTTCCTTACACCATGTCCTGCGGGGCAGCACAGGGAAAGCTTTCCCCGTGTCGTACCAATCCTGGATGGGAGAGGGATTGCAGACTCTAGGGCTATCAAGCCAACACTGTTCATGAGCTGTGTATTTACTGAAAAGATGAACCCTGGATTCACTGACACTGAGGGTACGTCTACACTGCAGAGCAAAACCTGCAGCGCTGATTCTCAGAGCCTAGGTCAACGGACTCATGCTTGCGGGGCTAAAAAGAGCAGAGTGGACATTAGGGCTTGGGCTAGAGTCCAGGCTCTGAAACCCAGCGAGGGGGGAAGGTCTCAGAGTCTGGGCTCCAGCCCCAGTGGGACTATCTACTATTTCTAGCCCCGTACCCCAAGTTTATGACCCGGGTTCTGAGACTCAGCGCTGTGGGTCTTTCTTTGCAGTGTAGACATAACCCTCCTCTGCGAGAGAAACGGGAGCATTATGCCACCTAGTGGCTATTCACAACAGGTGACACAGGAGACTATTAACTGCACAAGCATGCACAGAAAATCTCATCTTACCTGCTGCAACAAAAACCCAGACAGGATAGACTCTGGCAAAGAGCACCAGGGCCACGACCCTCGTTCCTAGCATTCCTGTCCTCCACAACAGCTGGCACAGGAGGGCAGCCGCTGGCATGTAGAGATGACCTGGTTTCATTAGGCATGTAAAGCGGCTATAAGAGACTAAAGACCAGGAGAGGGAGAGCAGGGACAGTCCAGCACTCACACCTACAAATGAAAGAGGAGGGACATTATTCAAAAGGCACAATGAGGAGTCAGAAATCCACGGCACCTGCATTCCACAGGACAGATGGTTTTCACTCCAGCTGGAGCACTTTACCAAATGTTCCTCTGCTGACCTGTGTCTGTGCTCCGCTAAACCCTCACCTCGATTTCTCTCCTTCCATCTCTCCCCAGTTATCAGTTTTACTAGGACTAAAAGTATCTTTTGCAACAGCCATTAAAAGACCATCAATCCACTCACAAGTGTTCTCATGCTAATACACACCAGTGCATCAAGCACACCTTCTTATTATTGGCAAGATACCAGGCCTGGATGGACCCTTAGGTCTGACCCAGCATGGCCATTCTTATGTATGTTCTTATGTTCTACTTCATCAGTACTATTACAGTTTCAATGTAACTGCACCTCTATTTCCACACCCATGGTCCACTCCAGGGACGCCCATTCAGGTCTCCAGCCATCACCTGTCTCTGGGAAGGAACCCTGCCCACTCCTTTCTGAGCTGGGGGTTTTAAGGCTGCACAGCTCCCTGCCTTACAGTGCGATAGCCTCAGCAAGCCAGTCTGCCTAACAGCCAGGCCCTGGGTGTTGCTTTCTCTCTGACGGTGATAAACAGTGTATTGCCCTCAGTTACCACCCAGCTCCTTCTGAGCAAATGTAACACCGACAGACCCCCGTCGTCGGCGGGCGGAATCGAACCTGGGGCCTCTGGAACTTAGTGCATGAGACTCTATTGCATGAGCTAAAAGCCACCTGGCTGTTAGCTAAGGCTGTAGAGCAGACTCATGATCTCTCTCTAAGTGGTCTCGGTGCCACTAGATGGGACAGAAAACCACACCCTGGAGGTGTGCGCGTTACACAAACACATTTATTCCTAAGGTAAAAGCATTACAAAGAAAACATTATATAAATAATACAGATTTAAAGCCACACGAAACATCCCAGGAGTCACCCATCCATCTTACGGGGCTCTCACAGGCCAAAGTCTTTCCAACCCGTCTGAAAGGGTTGGGCCCCTCCTTGGACAGAAGATCCTGTCCTTTGCTAATCAGAAAGAAGCCTGAGTCTATTTAGGCTCATTCTTTTATACCAAAACCCCTTTCTTTGTTCCCTAGTCTCTGGAAAACCCAGCCTGAGCCAGTCTATGCAACCCCCCCTCCTCCCGAACTGTTTAGTCTCAGTGACTCGCCTTAACCCGCCCCGCCTCCAACCCCGTTGTTAGTTCCTGGAGGCACTGTGGATACCCCTCCTCAATGGAACAGAATACACTCACACAGAAACCATTCATAAATGTAATACAATGGCCCCCAAAGATACTGCATGCAATTGCAATCGCTCTCACAAGTAGTACATTCCATTGCACACCATAGCAGTTTAGAGAACCTATGGGGAAACCTTGGTCTGTGAGAGAGGGACTTCCTAGCACTTGTGGGACTGATAGCTCTGGAGAGCTGAGTCTTCTATTCCTGCCCCCACACACACAGGAGGAATACCACAGGCAGTGGCAGGGCAAGTTTATCCCATCCTTCCATACCCCTAGTCTGGAGGAATCAGCAGTTCCTCTAGTAGGGTGTTTCTAGTACTGAATTGCAGTGCGACCTTGGGCAACTCACAATCTTTTTGTGCCTCAGTTTCCCTATTTGCAAAACAGAGCTGATACTTGACCTTTATAAAGCGCTTGAAGAGCTACAGATGGAGAGTACTAAGCACCATGGTTATTAATTCTTCATTGTCATTCAGTCCGTGGCTTCTCTTGTAAGACTACCCCTTACTGTCGCTGTAGTGACTTCTCTCCAATGGGCTGAGAACACTAATTTTATCTTTTCGGTGGACGATCATCATGCCAGAGCCAGATTCTAACCTGCCGGGGAGTTGGAACGCTCTTTCTGTACAAGGACAGAAGCTCTATGTTCCATTACAGGATGAATTTGCAGGGAGAGGAACTGGATAGTCCATCTCAAATGGCAAAGATTCTATGCCTATCCCAAGATCACTCCTCGAGCCATCACACACCCCAACAAACCCAGCGATTATCTCCTCCAGAAATAAGACAAACACGGGCCGCCGGACTGTTCTCTGTCCTGCCCACACAAGATTCCCAGGGTTTCTGCTATGGTATGAACTGGCCACTGAGCAGACGGCTGTTGAACAGCAGGCATGCTGCAGGTGGATTGAGGAGCGAAGCAGGTATGCTCTGGGTGTTCTCTGTCGGAAGGAATGCAACCACTGCGTTGGGGGGCACAAGACAACAGTTGGGAAAAGATGGGGAACTCTTGAGAGAGAAGGGAAGACACCAGGCTTTGCCGCTAAGTAGCTCAAGAGGCTAATTTTTAAAAAGCACCGTTCTGAATATGTTTTTCTCCAGTTAGTCTGCAATAGGGTCCTTCATCCTGAAAGTCCACTCCTGCTACCTGTGCCCGTCTACCCTGGGTAGACCAGAGGACAAGAGTCCATCACACACATACATCACCTTCCTTCCACATTTAAAGACTCCCCACTTACCTGGGACAAGGCCAGTCGGTTCCACCACTACAAAAACGTAGCTCTGTAGCAACAGGTGGGGCAAGGTCTGCAGCAGGGCTTCCAAGAGCCGCAGAACTGCCAGGTCCCCCAGCTGCATGAGGAGATCTCCAGCAATGGAGCTTCCTCCAGGCTTCGCAGCTGTCCAAAGAGCGTCCCAGTGCCTGAAAGAGTACACACCACAGTCAGGGCTCTTCGGGGCAAAGGATCCGTGCCTGATTCTGATCCTACCTCCATCAACTTTATAGCGTGACTCTACTGCTTTCAGCAGTTACTTCTGATGTACGCAGGTGTGATCTACAGCAGTGGTCGCCATACTTTTTGGATCGCACACCCCCAGGGCCAGCTCTAGGGAAGCGCAAAAAAAAGAAAAGAAAAGAAAAGCTGCCACCAGCGTGCCCCTGAAGATGGAGTGGGGAGAGCCGAGCTGCTGCCGCCGAAGGATCAAAGGTCCGGAAGCCCAGCTGCCGCCGGGCCAGCAGCATGGGTGTGTGTGTGGGGGTGTGTGTGTGTGTGTGTGGGGGGGGGGGAGGAGAGGAGGTGCTCAGAAAGAGAAACGTTGAGAACCCCTGATCTAGAGGAGAATCAGGCCCTTTGGACCCTATGCAGTCATTTCCCCTTGTGTAAAATGATAACATCTGATCCAGGGGCATTTCACAGCCAGTGTAAATGACTACAAATGGTTTGATGTTGTGGAAAACCAGGCCTCTTGGCTTTATGCTTCCGTGTAAACTTAGCACGTTGCTGGTTCTAGACAAACAATTCTGAGCAGGAACTGTAGAGGATAAAGTTATTAGATACACACACGCACACACTACTATACACACACTCTTGAGAGTTCCCTTCCAGTTGCTCTGAGTGCGTTACACTTGAGAAGGCTGCTCCTCCACCTCCAGAGCCACTATTTGATCCGGTTCAATACATGAACTTTAGCTAATCTCTTAACACTGACATAATTTGAATCAATGACTTGTACTGACACCCACCGATGTAATTTATTTCACAGCTTGTAATCTTCGAGAGGTGTTTACTTAAGGTAGATACTGGGGTTTTGCAATAAACCCTATGCACACAGTAAATACAGCCATCTGGCAGACTGGCCCTTAACCAGAGGCTGTTTACTTTTATACTTCGGGCATGTACAGCCATTCCTAACAGAGACACTGGATTTAGTGAACTAGGGAGGTAAAATGTTAACCAGTAAGACTACTGCTTACCAGTTAACTGGCCTTAACTGTCAACCCCGTGCCAGCGGGCCGCAGCGGCCCCATGCCGCCCGGCTGGAACGGCCCCAGCTGCGCCATCTGGCCGGAGCAGCCCCAGCCGCTTAATCGGTTAACCATTTAAACACAATATTTTGTAATTGTTTAAACGGTTACTTTTTTTAACAGTATTTACATCCCTAGAATGAACAAGCATGCTGAGAAACCCATAACTCCTTCGGTGCCATCATGAAAGGACAGTGCAAAAATTGACAAATCCAACGTTTAGCCTTCTTCCTCCAACGCCCATCTGTTTGCAAAGGTTTACACAATGCGTGTCTGTCTCTCTGCCATGCAACTAGAATCCTAATCCCTCAGCACTAGGACCAGTCAGCTCTACCACTGTGTTGCACCAAGGCCTTGTCTACACACAGACATTTTACTGGTTCAACTACAGGTCAGATGTTAAACCAATGCAATTACGATGGTGCAACGCTGTGTGTGCACCATGTTGTTTTCATGTGCTTCTATTTTAATGGTTAACAGTGTCCCCAAATTATGGCATCTCAAAGGCTTTTGCATGGTTTGTGACCATGGTTAGGTCCCACCTACATTACAAAACGGAATAGTTTTGTACCAGCTCCCTAGACTAAGTAGTTGTTGTAATACAGATGTGGTTTGGGCATTTAGTCCATCTTCTTGCAGTGTAGAGCACCATCCCCTGCAATTTATTCTCCAGCGCTTTGTCCAATCTAGCTGTAAAACAGCTCCAACAGGGGGTGCTTCCACCACCTTATTTCACACCCTCATTTGTCAGGTCGTGCTCTAGTTCAACCACAAGTTATTGGGCTAGACGCTGGAATCGCTGGGTGAGATTCCATGGCCTGCATTATGCAGGAGGTCAGACTAGATGACAACAGTCCATCCTGGCCTGAAAAGAAATCCGTGACAGTTTCTCCCCAATCATCTGCTGACATTATTAAATGTAACTGCATACGCTCAAGGGCAGAGATAAGAAGTTCAGCTATGGAGACAGCTTCTAGTTTCAAACTTCTGAGAGTGACTAATTGCTTTAAGAAAAGCACAATGTGCCCTTTGAAATATCTATTTACAATAGCACTATTATACACTTTATAGGAGCTTCACAAACCAACAGAGAAAACATTATTGAATTAAAAACCCCATATTATTGGCATTAATCACAAGTTACATATAAAGTGCAAACCAATTCTGTGAGCATTAATCAAGCATCTTCCACTCCCCTTCCCTGCCTCCCAATGTAATCTGGACAAGATCTGAAAGATTTTTAGGGTCTTCAACTAAAACAAGAACAAAAACAAAGCAAAAACCCCAGACAAATAAGCCTTCCTTCCAACAACAGGGATAATGGACAGTCCCTAGGACTTTTTTCCACTACTTGGGAAAAGAGAAGCATTCTCAGCTAGTATCAACATATTGGACCACTCGAGCTGAATAACAGCATTAAGGGTGCAATGTGTCTTTGCATGTCACCAAGGTGCCAGAACATGTCAGCTCTCCCATCATCTTACTCTCAGGTCCCATCTTCGTCCATACAGTAGAACCCCTATTTGATTATCCCCTATTTTATGGGGGATTGAGTTCATAAAACTGAACATCCCAAGATTCCAGGAGGTATGGTGCATAAGTTAATTCATTAATCGCTCACTGATAGTTTATATAACGAATGGTAACAACTGGATTCAGTGCACTTGATTTTTCTTTGAGCGAGAGAACTGCACCTCATCTTTGCCACCAAATATCTTAGTCTTCTCAAACCTGGGAAATGTGGTCTAGATGAAATTATTATAAGACAGGTGCACAACTGGTTGAAAGATTGTACTCAAAGAGTATTTATCCATGGTTTCATGTCAAATCAGGACAGCTAGTAAGGTTCTGCAGGTGTCAGTCCTGGGTCCAGTACTAGTCAATATTTTCATTAGTGACTTGGATAATGGCGTGGAGAATGTGCTTATAAAATATGCAGATGACACCAAGCTGGGAGGGGTTGCAAATACTGTGGAGGACAGGATTAGAATTCAAAAAGACCTTGGCAATTGGAGAATTGGTCTGAATTCAACAAGATGAACTTCGAAGTGCAAAGTACTTCACCAAGGAAGGAAAAATCAAAAGCACAGCGATAAAATGGCTAGAGCCCCGTAGGGATACAAAATTTATATCTGCAGATGCAAATATCCACTGATATAAAGTGGCAAAAAAGGAGTGCAACAACAGAAGTATTGTATGCAAGACACAGGAGGAATACTTAAGTGGATCACAAATTGAGTGAGAGTCAACACGATGAGGCAACTGACCGTCTCTACTCAGCGCTGGTAAGACCTCAGCTAGAATACTGTGTCCAATTCTGGAAGCCACACTTAAGGAAAGATGTGGACAAATTGGAGCGAGTCCAGGGGAAAGCAACAAAAAAGATCAAAGAATTAGAAAACCTGACCTATGAGGAAAAGTTAAGATAACTGGGCATGTTTAGTCTTTTGGAAAGAAGACAGGTGGGGAACTGGAGAATCTTCCAATATGTAAAGGGCTGTTATAAAGAAGATGGTGATCAATTCTTTTCTAGGTTCACTGAAGGTAGGACAAGAAGGAATGGGCTTTATTTTCAGCAAGGGAGATTTAGGTTAGATATTAGGAAAACGTTCTAACTATTAGTTAGTTAGTAGATAAGATCTGGACTAGACTTCCAAGGGAGGTTGTGGAATCCCTGCTACTGTAAGTTTTTTAAGAAGAAGGTTGGACAAACACCTGTCAGAGACAGTCTGGTCTACTTGGTCCTGCCTCAGCACAGGGGTGTGGCCTGGACAACTTCCTGAGGTCTCTTTCAGCCTAACATTTCTGTAATTCTATGTTGGTTGAAGGATCAGAGTCACATACAATGGCAGAAAGATGGTTCAGATAACCAGCTATTCGTGAGACCAATGCCCATAAAATCAGGGGTTCTACTGTACTTAGAAACCAGGCTCGCAACTTTCTAGAAGACAGTGTTTACTCACAGTTCTGTGGTTTGACGTCTCAGTTTACCATAGGAAAATCCTGATCCTACACTGCAGAAAGAGACACCTAATACAACCCCATTGGTTCTCCTTGCCACATAACACACTCAGGCACACTTTCCATGCAAAGTACATATATTTGTCCTCAGAACATTATATCTCAAGCCTCCTAATTCTTCAAAGGCTGTGAGTTGTTTTCTCACCGCTTCCAAATCCCCAGCTTCAGCATGTGCACGATCACCAGACAGCAGCAGCCTATGTGCCCATCTGCCCGGAACCAAGAGAAGCTCAGGATCTGAACTACATAGTCAGGCAGAAGCAAGGCAATGGTCAACCAGCACCAGAGATACCGGCCAGAGAGAAGATAATGGACGATGGTGCAGACCCCTGAAAAAGGGAAAAGAAACAATATGATAGATGGTGACACACATGGTACCTCTCCCACCTCAGCTCTAACAGTGCACCAGCCTTTGTGGCCCAAATCACATCTGACCACAAGCATCACCACTCTTTCTCCCATGCCACTTCTTATGCCTCAGGGCAAAGCTCCCCATAAAGATCCACAGAGGCACTACATTCAACTCCTTCAAACTCACCGCTCCCGCAATAGCTACCCAACGCTCAGCAACGGCTATGCGGCTCCTGTGCTGCGACCTGTGTTTGTTACACTGAGCATAAGATCTCACTGTTACCTTGTGCTCCCTCAGTCTGTACCTTTTGCATCCATCTAGCACTGGGATCGGCAACCTTTGGCACGCTGCCCATCAGGGAAATCCGCTGGCAGGCCGGGCCGGTTTGTTGACCTGCAGCGTCCGCAGGCTTGGCCGATCGCGGCTCCCACTGGCTGCGGTTCGCCGTCCCCGGCCAATGGGGGCTGCGGGAAGCAGCGGCCAGCACATCCCCCAGCCCGCGCCGCTTCCCGCAGCCCCCGTTGGCCAGGGACGGCGAACCGCCGCCAGTGGGAGCCGCGATCGGCCAAGCCTGCGGACGCTGCAGGTTAACAAACCATCCCAGCCCGCCAGCGGATTTCCCTGACGGGCCACATGCCAAAATTTGCTGATCCCTGGTCTATAGTCTTATATTTAGATTGCAAAGTCTCTGGGTGACCATCTTTTTCATCATCTGCTTGCACAGCATAGGGGCCCCGATCCATAGATGTGGCCTCTAGGTGCTACCACCATACAGATTAATAATACTAATAAGATCTCTGCTCTTAAAGCAAAAGAGGGTTTGGATTAGGTTTTCAGTTTGGGCTCAGCTCTATACAGAGAGAGAGGTTTTTTCCTTCCTTAACACTTTTGAAATCTTATTTCTAAGTGCTGGTTAATGCATAACATAACTATGCATGTTAACGTCATCTTTGTAATAAACTATCCTTTGCTATGTGTGCATCCAGCACAGCGGTTCTCAATCTATTGAACATTGTGGGCTGCATCCAATACTACCTGTATGGCCCTGAGGATGTCACATAGGCCGCAGCTGTGTACTGACTGGGCCGCAAGTGGCCCACGGGCCTGCAGGTTGAGAACCACTGATCCAGCACCTTGCTCCATGACTGGGGCTCCTAGGTGCTATGGGAATACAAATCACAAATAGATACTCTCTCCTCAATTTAACCAAAGCCCTTTAAACACGTAGGGGCTTGTTTTCTGGAGGGTGTGTATAAAGCAATGAGTAAAATGATACCTAGAGCTCTCCTATTGCATCTTCATCAGTAGATTGCACAGTGCTTTATCCCGGGGGTCAGCCTGATTATCCTGCCTCTTCCACCGGTCTGCCTAAGGTTTAGCAGACTGGTGGTAGAGGCAGGAACCAAATCCAAGTCTCCTGAGTCCCAGTCTAGCGCTTTATTCACATAGGCCACACATTTGTCCCCCCCAAAGAAGTAGCAATCATTTCTGTCTGCCCTTTCGTAGTCACCTGCTGTCAGGGATGGATCTAGAATAGCTCAGTGGGATGCCCAGGAACAGCTCAGGCCAATCCAGATCCTAACTTCCCAAACTCTGGGTTTGCTCAGGTCCAGGATTCTGGTGCAGGCCAGTCACTGAAAATAAGGGAGAGCTGCCCTGGGACCCTCCCTAGCCAGCAGCCCCGAGGCAGGGGCATCAGCCTGCCCAGCACAGGGTGAAGCCTCTCCCATGCACCTGCCTGCTCCAGTATGGGCCCGAAAGGCAGCAGCTAGGATTGCAGATTCAGGTTGGAGGCATTCCTGGAGGTTTACTGATTTCATCCCGTGCCCTAACCTCTCATTAAAGATTCCTCTTTAATTCCTGCAGGTGCCAGGACCGTCCTGGAGAGCTAGCAACCCTAGTGGCAGCTTCCCCCCCTGGGGCAGCCTGCAGAGGAAAGGGGGGCGGCAGCAGGATCGGCGGCAGAGCCCGGCACGCAAAGGGTTAAAGATTTTAAAAACGAGACGCGCGCGCGCGCGCTCGTCCCGGCGGCGCTCTCCTCCTTGCTGCGCCGCAAGGAGCCGGCCAGAGCCGGGCCCGATCCCCGCGCCCTGCACCGGTTCCCGTGCCAGGGGCTCAGCCCTGCACGCTGCCCCCCGGCGCAAACCAGTCGGCCACGTGCATGCTCCCCGTTCAGTCGTGGGGCCGGGACAAGACGGCTGCTCCGCAGCTCACAGCGGCTGTTCGCAGGAAGGAAGGGGGGGGCGGTGGGGTGGGTGCAGCTTTGCCGGGTGCCCGGTGAGTGTGTGCGTCGTTCCGCTGGCGAGTTGCATGGGTGCCCGCTGCGGGGCGCGGGGGGGGGGCAGCTCTGGGGGGCGCAGAGCGGGTGTGTGTAGCGCCATTCATCCGTGGCAGGCAGAGGGGTGCAGCGCACGAGGGACATGCAAGTGCGCTGGGGGGGCGGCACAGTTAGTGGTGCAGCCCCCCCGGTTAGCTGCAAGGCTGCAGGCAGCGCGGTAACACGGGGGTACGCTGCGTTGGGGGTCCGCTGCCGGTGCAGCCCCGCTCCTCAGCTGCCGGTCCCGCCGGGCCCCCGGGAGACTCACGCGCGCCCTGTTCCGCCGCGAGCAGCAGGAGCGAGAGTCCCGCGAAGGCGGCGCGCATCCTCCTCCTTCTCCCGGCGCGGCGCCCTGCTCCGGTGCAAGGATCCCGGAGCAGCCCGGCTCCGCTCTCCCCGCCCCTTCAAGGGCCGGCCGGCCGGCCAGCCCCAGGCCTTCGCCTCCCGCCTTCGCAATGCTCCCTCCCCGTTAGCGGCCGGGGAGGTCGGTTCGGCCAGCGGAGCAGCAGCAGCTGCCTTTGCAGGAACAGGCGCCGACTCCCCTGCCAACTTTCTAATGGCACAAAGCCCAACAGCTTTGCCCCTGACTAGCCTCCCTGCCTGAGACCCCGCCCCTTCGCCAGGGCCCTGCCCCTGCTCACTCCATCCCACCCCTTCAGTCCTCAGCTCTCCCACCCCCACTCACTTTCACTGGGCTGGGGCAGGGGGTTGGGATTGTGGGCTCTGGGCCAGGGATGAATTCAAAGCAAAAAAAGGTTTCTCTCACCATATGGGAGCAGCAGTTTGGTTGGATTCCTCCAGCCAGGACCACTCCCCCAGTTCATTTGAGCATAAGCTTTCGTGAGCTGCAGCTCACTTCGTCCGATGAAGTGAGCTGTAGCTCACGAAAGCTTATGCTCAAATAAATTGGTTAGTCTCTAAGGTGCCACAAGTCCTCCTTTTCTTTTTGCGAATACAGACTGACACGGCTGCTACTCTGAAATCCCCCAGTTCAGTGATGCTTCCTTTGTCTTTCAAAGGAAGGCTGTAAATAGAGATGAGGGAAAAGAGGTGATTTGGGGCCTCTGTTCCTCATTTTTATATCTTTTCATCCTCTTTGAGAATCATCTCCAGCTGGAGTTCTGGTGACAGCCAGTCTGTTTACATGGGAAGTAAATTTTCCCTTTATGCCCTTCTGCTTGCCAAAGAATGGCCGCTTAACCAGGTGATAGTCCATTTGATTTTGTTGACACTTGCCTGCGGTGTTAGTTTGCCTTTGTATCTGAGGAAGTGGTTTGTGCCCGCTTTTCTAAACCTGGAGCATGTCTCACAGTAGAATATTATAACTTTTACACACAATGTTGCTACACACATTTTACCATGACAATAATGATCAGCAAATTATGAGTTTTCAAATGATACTTTCCAGGGCATACTTTGTACAAGATTTATTATAGTTTTGTAAAAAGGATGAACACGAGGGTACAGACTGTCACATAGGCCCGTAAGCCTAACTTCAGTACCAGACAAATTGGTTGAAACTATAATAAAGAACAGAATTATCAGACACGTTGTTGACCATAATTTGTTGGGGAAGAGTCAACATGACTTTTGTCAAGGGTAATTATGCCTCACCAATCTATTAGAATTATTTGAGTGGTCAACAAACGTGGACAAAGGTGATCCAGTGGATATAGCATACTTGGACTTTCAGAAAGCCTTTGGCAAGGTCCCGCACCGAAAGCTCTTAAGCAAAGTAAGCAGTCCATGGAGCTTCTGGGACCTGAAGCATTCCTCTCACAATATATGTGAAATTCAGCTTTACAAAGTATCATTTTTTGGCCTTGAGAATCCATAAAGATTTTTCCTGTGTTCATGCACTGAACCGTCCGTGAATTACTGAGACAATAACATACTGTTTTATGTGTGCTCGCAGGTCCCTCAACCTCAGCTGGCCATTGTACTTCGGCAGCTCAGGCACCCGGCAGCAGAACCCTGGGTCTTCATTTCATCCTGGATCGGTCAAAGAGGAAGGGCTTCCGTGATGAAATTATGGTTGACAATCTGGACAGGGCCAACAAGCAGGTGCAATCTCAAAGAGGGAAGGATTCATGGCAAGTTGAAAGCACAGGCAGGCTGCAGAGCTTGAGGACAAAATGGCAGCGCGGGAGCTGACATGTGCATCTTGGTTCCTGAAACAGGAACGTGAGTTGAGTGGGGAAGACAGAGTGCAGTGGAAAGTCCCTGTTTGAGAGGCTGCTTTCACTAGTGACCACTAGAGTGCAGGATCCTGCCTCATCCACTCCACAGCCTGAGTCCCCTCCACGGTACCGTGCGCCGCAGACCAGGAGCGCTTTGGACAATTCCTTGCTTGGCAGGTGGCCCATGCAACTGGCACTTAGCAGCTGGACAGGGCAAATCTACCCCCTGCAGTCCTCCACCCCGATCCAGGCCCCATTCCCTCTGCACACGTCCACCCCTATGCTGACCGCCCTCCCCCCTGCAGAACTCCACCCCCAAGCAGTGGCAGCCAGCGCATGCTCAACACACATGACTGAGAAAGCAGAACATGCCAGAGGACACACAAACTTAGGGGATTGTTTTGGTGGCATTGGTTTCACTGTTTACGCCATGCAGTGTTTGGTTTATGCACTTTGTTTTATTACTGGTTTTGTGCTGGTTTAATATATGCACACATAGCATTGGCAGGCAGGCCAGCTGCCGTCAGAACACCAAAACAGCACCATCACTCCCCCGGAATACATCCATGTTCACAAATAAAGGCTTTTATTTAATTAAGAAAATTAATTGCCATTATTACATCACATCATATAACATGTACAGGAACTCCTCACTTAAAGTCGTCCCGGTTGACGTTCTTTCGTTGTTACGTTGCTGATCAATTAGGGAACGTGCTCTTTTAAAGTTGCGTAATGCTCCCTTCTAACGTTGTTTGACAGCTGCTTGCTTTGTCCACTGCTTTCAGGAAGAGCAGCCTTTGGAGCTCGCTGGTGGGGCCTTGGAATCAGGGTGGACCGGAAGCCCCCTTATCAGCTCCCCTAAGTTCCCTGGGGGGCAGCCGCTCAGCAGGCTATCAATTGCCAGGCACTTCAACTGTCCCTCCCCCCACTGCCATGTGCTGCTCCTGCCCTCTGCCTTGGAGCTGCTCCTGGGGGCCTCCTGCTTGCTGTGCAGGGGGAGGGGTGGGAAGAGGGGGGCTAATGTCAGGGTGTCCCCTCCCCTCGCTCCTGTCCCCCACTCCTTTACCCCATCTTCATAGAGCATGGGGGTGGGGACACGACAGGGCTCAGGATGGAGGGAGCTTGGTGGCAGCAGCTGCTGTCTCAACTTGCTGATCTACTAAAAAGGCAGTGTACTTAGGGTGGGGTCAATGTACTTAAAGGGGCAACGCGCGTGTCTCTCTCTCTCTCTCACACACACAGTGTGTGTCTCTGCTTCTCTCTGCCATGCTGTCTCCCCTCCCTCCATTCGTGCCACCTTGTAGAGTGTGAGGCTATTAACAACAATGTTGAGGGCTCAGCCGACTGTTAGTTCCTCATTTAGCAGTAAGACATCCCCTGAGAAATATCCCACCCTCTGACTCCACCACCTCAACCAAGCTTCACAATCATCATTGCTGTGTACAGGATTAAATTGTTTGTTTAAAACTTATATTGTGTATATTTATTTATTTATATAAAATATAGTCTTTTGTCTGGTGAAAAAAATTTCCCTGGAACCTAACCCCCCCATTTACATTAATTCTTATGGGGAAATCGGATTCACTTAACATCATTTCGCTTAAAGTAGCATTTTTCAGGAACATAACTACACCATTAAGCGAGGAGTTACTGTATTTTGAATAATAAAGATAAACACATGGTAAGGCACAATAGGGAAATTATATCCAGACACAATCTCTCAATACATCTATGTACAAGAATCCATAACATAAATGCACAACACGCCCCGTCCCCCCCAAACAGTCATCTCATGCATAAGAAAAATTCTGCATATGGTTTCATAAGCCAAATGTAGTGGGGCACCTGCATGAGAAAAAGGGCTGGAACAGGCCAGAGAGGCTGCGCAGACCAGCAGCCAATCAGTGAGTGCCTGTGGGGAGCCAATTACGGCCAAGAAAGAGGCAGCCAATCAGGACCAGGCTGAGCCCTGTATAAAGGCTGCAGCAGGGAGGCAAGGGTAGTCTTTCCCTGACTAGTAAGCATTGTTTTCTGAGGTAAGGAGGTAGCACCTTGGCTGAAGCAGTGCTGCACAGGCTTGGGGGAGCTCAGCTCAGCTCAGCTCAGCTCAGGCCCAGTTATCTGCCAGGTTGTGGCCCCTGCTAAAAAGGGTTGAGAAGGTGCGTTGGGCCAAAGGGGAAGTGGACCAGGGAAGATAAGTGGACGAGAGGGGAGAGAAGGAGGGCAGAGAGAGGCTGCTGCTAGTGGACCCCTGGGTTGGGACCCAGAGTAGTGGGTGGGCCTAGGTCCCCCCACCCTTGCACTGCACCTGGCTGTGGAGGAGTGTGGCCAAGACAGACTGCAACTTACCCTTGAGTGAGGGGTTAGGCTTTGGGGTTGTGGTCGGTCACTGAGGCAGGTGCAAGCCGAAGGACTGCTGTTAATCCCCCCCTCCCTCTGAAGGGGGTGAGAATGGAGTAGTGGGCACTGCTGGAGGGCAGTGTCCTGAAGCGGATGCTGCCGAGCAGGCAGTAATGCGGGTACCAAACCAGCAGAGCAGACAACGGGCAAGACACCACGCACAGAGGGTGCTCCACAGCTGACAAGAGCTAATTCCTAGAGCAACTAGCAGGTGGCATCGTGGTGTGAGTCAGCGTGCTCTTACACCCAGGCAAAAGAGATACGTGGGGTCCTCTAGGATAACAATGGGAACAATAATTCAATTTATGGCAATGTCATTTGGTGGGAATAATGTCCCAGGTTGTCCAAGAATGCAGACTTCTGATTGTTGGAAAACTCTGGCATCATGAACTTTCCAGTGCAACCCCATGTTGGTGTTCATCAATTGGCATCTGTGGTCCATGAGGGCTTGCATAATACTGGGGTAGGACCCATTGTGGCTTATGTACTCATGTTCATCCCCATTTCACAGGTGGAGCTAAGACCCAGATCCCCAAAGACATTTAGGGTCCTAACTTTCCATGATTGGGGCCCAAAGAGACCATAAGACCATATCTACACTATGAGGACTGTAGTGGCATAGCTACACCACCGTAGTTATGCTGGCATAACTCCCTAATGTCGATGCATCCTGCAGCAATGGAAGATTTTCCTGTTGCTGTAGGAGCACCATCTCCCCGAGTGATGGTAGCTAGGACAATGGAAGCATTTTTCCATCAGCCTAGCTGTGTTTACACTGGGGGTTAGGTCAACATAGCTACAGCGAGCATGCGTGCGGGCTCGGGAATGAAAAATCCACCCCTCTGAACGTCAAAGCTGTGCTGACCTAACTTTTTAAGCTGTTTACTGGGCCTAAGTGACTTGTCCAAGGTCACACAGGAAGTCAGAGCAGGGACTTGAACCTGGATCTCACAAGTCCCCCTGTGAGCGCACTAACCACTGGACTCTCCTTCCTTTCTGGGTATTGGACCACGCCCATCTCATTAGCCCTCCCTCCAATCTAGCTAGGCTCTAGCTGAGACCCTGCTCCCATTTAGCAGTATGGGAAGGGCAGGGCGGCTGCAACTCCTGATACCTCTTTCCAAGCTCCCAGAGGGTTACGACTCCCAGGTTATGAACTGCTGCCTTAGAAGAGCATGGCATGGTACATACTGGGTGTATCTATATATAATGATCATTTATTAAGGGAACAATGAAACACCAGGTTTTGGGACCCTGCTGCACCATGGAAGCACAGAATCATCAGCATTGCTTGGGACTGCTCCTCTGCTTTTCTTTGCTTCCCACTTCAGCAGGGTCTCTACATTTTCAGTTTTCGATCATCATCATCATTGAGACAGCAGTTTCCCATCCCGTGATGGCATCGGCCAACATACGTTTCAACGTGGTGGCACAGGGTATGTCGGCACACACCATTCAGCCTCCTGCATCGTCCCGTGCCTGGGAAGGGAAACAAGTGTGTCAGAATTCTCATCTCATCGCTACTAATGCCCAGTCCCAGGAGGCAGAACGTGGTGGTGAGAATTAGGGAACTAGCTAATCCCTGGCTGGCCACAAGGATGCTCCAGTGGAGAAGAAGGGGGATTGGTTGGGAGGCAGGACAAGGTCAGGATTCTTAATATGCTAAATTAGACCTCGTCTTGACAGATCAAGAGGAACTGATCACAGAACTAAACATTAATGGTAACTTTAGGTACAAGTGATCATGACTAGGTCACATTTATGATGTGCAAACTGAACAAAGTCCAGACCAGTGATATATACACTTGGTGCTTTGAAAGTGCCCATTTCACAAAGCTGAACACAATTTTGAGCCAAATCAGCTGGGAGGAAGAATTTAATCAGAAAAATGGAATGATAATTGGGAATTGTTTCAGAACATTTTATTAGGTGCCCAAAAAGCCATAATCCCACAATCCAGGAAGGCCATATTGGTTGAAAAGACAACATAGTTTAGAGGGGAAATGATAGATTTAAAGCTGCTTTCTAATCTAAATGGAATAAAGGGGAAGCAGATAGTAATGTGTCTAAATTAGAAGTTAGAAACTAGAAAATGAAGAAGGGAAGCAAAGGGACACAAGGAGAAATCTCTGGCCAGCAGAGTTAAGGGAAATAGGGAGTTTCTAAAAAATATATTAGGAACAAACAGAATCCTAACAATGGTATTGTCCATTACTAGATGGAAACGGTAGAATTATCAGTAATTCTACCGAAAAGATAGACATGTTCAATAAATATTTCTGTTCTGTATTTGGGGAAAACCTCATGATATAGTCAATCATAGGATTACACTCTTTACTTTCCATAGTATCTCAGGAGGATGTTAAACAGCAGCTACTAAAGTAGCTTTTTAAATCATGTCTGTATAACTTGCATCCAAGAGTTTTAAAAGATCTGCCTGAGGACCTCGCTGGACCATTAATGTTGATTTTCAATAAGTCTTGCAACAGTGGGTAAGGTCAAGAAAACGAAGAAAGCTAATATGCCAATATTTAAAAAGTGTAAACAGGACAACTCTGATAATTATGGGTCTGTCAGTCTGATCTTATCCCAGGCAAGATAAATGGAACGGTTGATCTGGGACTCAATAAAAAATTAAAGGAGGGTAATATAGTTAATGACATTCAATATGGGTTTAGGGAATATGCATCCTGTCTAACTAATTTGATATATTTTTTGATGAAATTACAAGTTTGGTTGATAAAGTTAATAGCGTTGATATGATAGACCTCTGTAAGGCATTTGACTTGGTTCTGCATGACAAACAAAAAAGATATAAAATTAACATGACACACGTTAAACGGATTAAAAGCTGGGTAACATAGATTTCAAAATGTAATTGTAAACATGGATTCATCATCAAACAGGTGTGCTTCTAGTGGCATCATGCAGGGATCAGTTCTCGGCCCTATGCTAATTAATATTTTTTTATTAATGGCCAGGAAGAAAACATAAAATCATCATTAATGATGGCAGATGACCCCAAAATTGGGAGTGGTAAATAATAAAGAGGACAGGTCACTGATACAAAAAATCTGGATTGCTTGGTAAGCTGGGCTCAAGCCAACAATCTGCATTTTTAACATGGCAAAACATAAATATGTACATCTGGGAACAAAGAATGTAGGCCATATTTACATGACGGGGACTCTTTCCTGGGAAGCAGTGACTCTGAAAAAGATTTGGGGGTTGAGGTGGATAATCAGCTGAAAATGAGCTCCCACTGCGATGCTGTGACCAACAGGGTTAATGGATGCATAAACAGAGAAATCTCGAGTAGGAGTAGAGAGGTTATTTTACATCTGTCTTTGGCACTGGTGTGACCGCTGCTGGAATACTGTGTCCAGTTCTGGTGTCAACAGTTTAAGAAGGATGTTGATAAATCGAAGAGGGCTCAGAGAAGAGCAACAAGAATGATTAAAACTTTAGAAAACATATAATGATAGACCCAAAGAGCTCAATCTATTTAGCTTAACAAAGAGAAGGTTAAGGGGTGACTTGATCAGACTATAGCTGGGGTGGCCCTCCGAGGCGCACAGGACAATCTTCAGAAGTTCAAGAGCCAGAGTGCACCTGTCAGGAGCTGGGACTCAAGGCTTCAGCCCCACTCCTGCTAAAGCCTGAAGCCCTGGCAGGTGCGCCCCGCAGCTCTGAAGCCCTGAGACCCTCCTCCTCACTGGGCAGAAGCCCCTATCCCATAACCCTGCTGAAAGGCAGAAGTCCTGAGCTCCCCCCATCCCAGTCTGGTAGGTGGAGAATTGGGAGGGAGTGAAAGGGGCTTGCAAGCTACATTTTCATGGTAAAAGAGCCACATGTGGCTCATGAGCCACAATTTGGCCACTCCGGTCATTAAGTATTAAACATTTGTTCCCTGTGTAGGTAATCTTCTCTTCAGAGAAGGTATAACATGATCCAGTGGCTGGAAGTTGAAGAAAGACAAATAGAACTTTGCTAATATACACAGGCTAAGGAAGAGGCCCTGTATGTCTCTATATTTTTAGGATAAACATCACTTTAAGATAAGAAGTTCTT